CAACGATGAAATAGAAAGAATCGTAAATGTTTTCATACATTAAATTTTACATTTGCGCATCAAAGAAAACTATTGTTGTTTTACAGTTGCAATATAATGAGTTTTATTTAAGAAAACGCATCTAAACTTATCCAATCATTAGTATTCGAGCGTTTTAAGCTAGGGTGTGGGTGTGGTATTTTATTATGCGTCCCACATCTACACCCACCCTCAAGTGAAACACTGACGGTGACCGATCAATGTGTACTGAGCTTACCGCCGGTGTTTGTCGGCGTTCAGTTATTTGACACCGCCCGTTCCTAGGTACATATAACTTAAAATATACATATACTAGATTATATTTAGGTCATAAAGAAATCTTGTTAATATAATGTTGAATATCTTTGAAAAGTATTTATTAGATGTAATTGTATATTGAATAAGTATTAATACAAATAAAAACTATCGATTATTTGATATTTTGACCCAGAATTGATTTATAGAAATAATCTTCTCCAAATTTTAATTTTTTAATTAATCAAAAACATATAATTTATATTGATCTCGAAAAAGCCATAGACTATTCAAATTATTGTTATAAAATAAAGAAAATTTTCCTTGATTTATCTATTAGTCTGATGAGTATTACTCAAATTAGAATACTTACTTATGTCATACTTTCTAATTATGTTTAGATTCTCTTTAGTTTTCAGCTTTTTTTATCGGATAGTTAATATGCCAACTTCTTATAAAATTACAAAAAAAGCGTGAAATATTGTATTAATGAATGATTAACATTTGTATTTCACACAGATTTATTCTTACAAGGACGAAAGTCAACTCATAGAATCAATTTTGATAGTAACTTACTTTTCAATATTCTTTGTATGAGTCTTTAATTTCTAATTTATTCATCTTGTCAACAACTACTATTTTTAAGTGTAGGTCAATGTGGGTGTGAGCTTTAACTGTTACTCATACCCTATTCAGTTTCAACAGTGACACACGTAGTGAAACGAATATTTTTGAGTAATATTGAAATTGATTATTTGCTCCTATGGTAAAATAGGAAGTTTTTATTTACATTCAGTTGTTATTAATGCAATCGGAAAATCTGTATCCGTCGATAACTACTCTTACGTTAAGAATATTCTAGTTGATAACTATTTATATTACTAATATGTTCGTTAGCAAAATAAATCATAAATATAATATATTTATGGAATAAAAAATTAGAGATTTTTCAATCAGAATATATAAAATACTATGTTACAAGATAGTACATGATTTTACTTGTTATTACAATTTTGATTGTTTAACAAGTTTTTTTAAACCACTTAAAAATCGAGCATATTCATCAAGATGAAAAAGATCATTTTCAATTTGATTTTGTAATCGAATAAATTCATTATCAATACGTGATGGTGAATTAATGAGTAGTTCTGCATATGTAATAAGTTGAGAACCATTCATAAGATTCAATATATTTAATAGATAATTAGATAAATGATTTTGTTGAAACCAAAATTTGATTTCTTTTTGAGTCCATTGATCAGGTAATTCAGTCAGAATGGATTCGTTGGAATGAATACATAAATATGATGATATTAAATTAGCAAATTGTTCTCGAGTAACACCATGATGACGCATTCGATGTTCATATTCATCATATTGTGCATCTTCATGTAATAATAAATTCATATAGACTGATAACGCCTGACCAGATGATAATTGAAGAACTGAAGGTGGTAAACGAAGCCATTGTTGTACTTCTTCACATGTCCATTGCTCAATTGGATTAGTTGGTGTAACATTATTTAATGTATTAGAATTGGATGATAATGGTATACTATCAGAAGAAGTTACTGTTTCAACTGGATTAGAATCTATAGACAATGGTATTTGAGTAGTTTGATTATTATTATTAGCTATGAATGCATTTGTTTGTAGTTTTTGAATGAAAGTATTATCATTATTATTTTGTTTAATTTTATCTTGAGCATTAATTAATTTAAATAAAATCTCCATAACTTCATCATGATTTCTTTTATCTCCAAAACGAACCCATGCTGCAGAACCAACACGAATTTCAAACCAATCTTCTGGTTTATAATCTTTTCCTAAATAAATTGGTATCATTCGTTTGTTACGTTTATCAGCATGTATAACTTCTCTTCGACAACTTTTTGAACTACAATAATTTTCTGTTACAATCATTAGAATAACATTACATTGTGTTATTGCTTTAGCAATTTCTTCCCAATCATCTTCATATGGTGCTGATAATTTATTAAAATCTACCCAAATTTCACCTTGAAAACGTTCTTGAAGACTTGTTACAAGTTTTTGACAAAATGTTGCATCTTTATGTGCATAAGAAATCATGAGTTTTATTTGATTATTTCCAATAACATTTATATTTTCTTCAATCGGTTGTACATCCATCTCTATAAGATCAAGATTAAAAAGTATTCCTTTAGCTGCTCGTTTCATCATAACAGCATGTTCATCAATAGATTCAAGTTTTGATATTTGTTCAACATATTGAATAAAATTTTCAATCGATTTTAATTTTGCATGATATTCAGCTTGAAAACTAATTGACCAAAAAATAGTATAAAGTGATGAACAAATAATTGTATTTAAATCTGTTGATTGATAAATATTATTAAATAAAAGAAATTTTTCAATAAATAAATTAAATATATTATCACGAGACATAATATAGATAAGAAATTTATCATTAACAACAAATTTAGCAAGTCCATTTAAATATTCACAAATATTATATGGACCAAAACATAATTCAGAAGAATTGAAAGCTTGTACTGTTCGTTCAAGAATATAATCAAGAACAGTTTGAATATTCGATATATTTTCTTTTTTTAATTCTTTTGGTTCTAATAATATTGCATAGACAAGATAATATGCAATAAGAATATCTTTATCATTTTCATTATTTTGTTTTAATAATAATTCTGATATATATTGATCTTTCCATTGTTTTAAAATATCAATAGCTTTTAATTTATTTAAAGCTTTACCACCCATTCGATGACGAGCTAAATTATGTAATAAATTAATAATAAAAAACCATAAATTAATACATATATGTTCTGCTTGATCACGTTTAATCATCATCCATTGTAAGACAGTATTTGGATAATTTGTTTTAACAAAATAAGGAACAAATCCATAGATATTTGTCATAGTTAAAAGCCATTTTAAAATTGAATTATGACTTTGATATTGTTGACAATTATTAAAAAATAAATTATTTAAATAAACTATGAATGATTGTAATAAATGTTCAGTTGAAGAATTTAATTGAAAAAATGTTGGTATATTCTTATGTGAAACACATATTGAATAAGAAAGATTTGTTTTAATATAAACAGAACGTGAACCAATAGAAGAAAATAGATTAAGAAATAATTCATCAATATTTGTATTTGTTTCTTTTTTACTGTTAAGATAATCAATTGTTGAATTACCTGTTAAATATGTTAATGATAAATCAAAATAATAATCCGTAACGGATTGATCAATATTCATATTAATGTTCATTTGAAAACGAATTATATCAAATAAAGCTTTTAAAATCGATAATGGAATATTTGAAAAATATTTATCAAGAAAATTATATAAATAATTTATTTGAAAATAATTCAGTAAAGATATAATTTGACGTTTTTCATCAATTGTTGTTAATTGTGGTTCAATATCAATTTCTTGTAATTGACTATGAAGAAGTAATAATGGATGAGATTCATTTTCATTAAATATATTATCATGAAATAAATGACTTTCCAATTCATGAATCGAATTTTGTATTGTATTATTATTAATACTCATCGTTAGAGATTACTTCTTTGATGAGAAGAAAAAAAAACGAAATGTCTTGTATGAATAAAAATATGTAATCTTATAAAAGTACAAGCTTTTTTTCTTCTTATGAATCAGAATAATATTAAGTGACACTTTTATATTCATTATTTTTCATATATGCATGATTTATAAAAGTGCCGTGAATAACCCTAAACGAAAAAACAAATTGGTAATTTGGATGGAAAAAAAAACAGATTAACGACAAATTTATATTGCAAAATATAAATCAAATAAAAAGAAAATATGTCCAGATTATTTATTGACCTTGTCTAACCCATTTTTCATTGAATCGAACATATTTTATTGTTCTTTTTGTTTTTAACCCATATGTATATGCTAAATGAATATCATTATCATCACTTCCACTCCAAGAAGTTTGTAATAATGATGGATATGAATAATCTCCAACAATTGTACTATTATCGTCATCATGAACTTGAATATTTCGTTGATATGGCCAACTCATGCCGTTATCATATGATAGTGCTACTGTTAATGGTGATCGAGGTTCTCCTGCAGTGAGATTATTAAATGCCATGATAATACCTCCATTTCGAAGTGTATATGCTTGAATTCCTGAATTATCATTTGGTAATGAAGTTGGTATTGGTTTTGACCATGTTAATCCATCATCATTACTATCCGAGTAATAAATGGCAACGTTATTTTCATCTCGAAAAAATGCTCGCAAGTGTGATGAATTATTTAAACGAACGATTGTTGGTTGAATAAGATTATCACTTTTTTCTATATCAGTACGAATCCATTCAGTTGTGTTTGATGATGATCGAAGTATAAATGAATAGTCAGTCTCTGGTGAAGAATTATAACATGGCAATATGAGTCCATCATTGTTTAATGTAGGAATAATACGATTACGATCAAATGCACCTGGTAGAGTATAAAATGATTCAGGTGTTGACCATGTTATACCTAATAAAAAACAAATAATAAAAGGTTTCTTTAATTTATTGACATTTACACAATAAATTTACCTTGATCTTTACTTTGTAGATGCCATATTTCAGAATTAGTTTCACCTGCATTACCTAGTTGCGATGAATGATATAAATGTAACAATTGGGTTTGATTATTCCAAAAAAGAACTGGATTTTGATTTGAATAATTGACACGTTCACTGACAATAACACCTGGAGTAAATTGTTGTAATCCAAATTGTAAAAGTGATAGTGCAATTGAACAATTCGGAGTACCTTCACTACCTGAAAACCAAGCAACAGATAAAGTATGAGATGATGTTATTTCTTCGATAAATGCTGCATGATTGGCTGATCTTGGCGGAGAAAGATATGCATATGAAGTACCATCAGTTGATCGACGGATGATACCATCATATGTTGTTGTTGTTGTAGTAGATTGTGCTAAGTAGATGAAGAGCAAGAATATTGATAAGAACATGTTTCAATTATTCTCGTTTCAGCATAAATAAATTTCAAGGAGATTAAAAAAGCAGAAATAAAGAACAGCTGAAGTCATTTCTCATGAAACTACCCTATATATTTTTTATTCTCTGATTCATCGGACTCCCTTAATATATTATTATAAATGTGGCGTGGTAACATTGGTAGATTATTTTATCATTTCGTTTCTGTTTTTATTATCACGTAAAATATATATTTATCTAAAAGAGCGTTAAGACAAAGCACAAAAAAAAATGAGTAATATAACAAACGAGAATGAAAAACAGGTTGATGCTGATGCAATAAAATCTACTGGATCAAGTATTGGTACTGTCGTTGAAACATGTCCTGGTCGTTTTGAACTACGTACTGATAATCCATGGGAGGAAATTTGTGGTCATACACGTGCTGTACGACGTGGACCTTTTGTTATTATAGCTGGTACGACAGCTAGTGATCCTACAAAAGGAGTTCTTCATGTAAGTTTTATTTTATAATTACATATAAAAGTATATAAAATAATCTATATGTATTAGCCCGAAAGCAGTTATCATCAAGCAGTAATCATCTTTGAACGTATTACTAATGCACTGGTAACCATAGGTGCTAAAGTGACCGATATTGTTCGTGTACGAATGTTTATGTTCGTATTATATACATATATTATTTCATTTAATTGACTATTTTATTTTTTTCAATTTCAATTATAGTATTGATATAGCTGATCAAGATGAAGTCTGTCGAGCATTTAAAGAAGCTTTTCATTCTTATGGTATTCGAGTACCTGCAACACTTGTTCAAGTGAATGCTTTCGTTCATCCCGATATGCGTGTTGAGATTGAAGCTGATGCTATTATTTTATAATATATTTAGTCTTATATCTTAGTAATCGAATAAATCTATTTATAAGTATACATAAATCTTCTTTACAGAAAAGAAAAGGTTGTATAAAAAAACGCCTGATTAATATCAAAGTTCTATAATGATGTTATTGGATATAAAATATCTCTTCTAATATAAAATAAAAGATAAGCATCTCTAGAGATAATTTCATCTGCATACTCAGATGATTTTACACTTGTTACGGATGAATCATCAAATTTAAACCATTTATTTTTACTTGAGGATAGATCTTGAGCATACGCGACATAATGACCACCAAAAATTGACCCCATATGATTACACACAGCAATTAAATCATAAATAGCGTCATCGGATGATGATGATGATGATGATGGTAGAAATCTCTTTAAATCAAGTCCTTCTAATGGATAATCAACGAATGTTTCAATTTTTTGATGTAGACCATTTTCATGTGAAAATCGTTTGAATTGAATAATAAGAATAGATGGAAGTGTACGAAGTTTAAGTTGTTTCATTGGTATTACTTTTTTTTTACAATTTTCTTGTTGACATCTCCATTCATCTTCGAGATATTCTTTTGAAAAAAATTCTTCAAGACAATTGTCAAGAGTAGATGCTGTTTTCGGTTTTTCTAAAGGTTTAGGTCGAATATTATCACAGCGTTCTTCTTGTTCCATAAATATTAATTCATCACCAGTGATTTGACTAAGTGGTGTATTCAAGTCGACTTCTCCATCAGGTAACATGACAAGTACATAGTAAAAGAGTAATGGTTCATTATGTTTTTGAGCGAATGCTTCGACGAGATGTCCAACTTGTCCATCAATAGGTACATCTACAAGAGTAAGTTCATCTTTACCTTGTTTTGTAATAAAAGTAATCCAGAAACGACGTTCTTGACGATTGAGTGGTATAGATAAACTACTAATTGGATTTATTGTTGAGTCTTCTTTATGACATGCCGTACATGTTACAGTTGATGTTATTTCTCCGAAGAAAAGTTTTTTTATAATTGTATTTCTATCATTTTTATTTTTTGTCTTTAATTCTTGATGTATAATATCAAGAAGAAAAGTCATAAATTCTTGAGCATCTTGTTGATCACTTGAAGCAAAACGTGAATCTTTTTTACCCATATTATCTTTAATACGATTAGGTGTAAAAGTATACATATCAGGATTATTTTCATCACGTTTTCGTAAATTCCAAAGTAATTCAGCATAGGCTCCAGTTACATCTCCTACTGCATCATAAGGATTCCAATCATTATTTTCATCTTCATTATCTCTCATATGAGTACGATCCATACTTTCTAAAAAGAAATTAGTTAATGGTGGTATATGAGCAAGACATTGAAGTGCACTATTCATATAACATGAATTTCCAAGATTAGTCAAACCAATAGGTATTCTAGATGTAGACTGTGATTTTATTTGTTTATCTGGTTTGAGTGACATAGTCGTTTGTTTGCTTACGATTGATGAATAAATAGGAGATTTATCTATCATAATGGCATTAATTTTATCATTAGGTTTAATTCCTAAATCAGCTAAACATCGAAAGGTATCATTTTCTAAATTAATATGAATATCATTCGAATTTATTTCAGATAAAACTAATCGTTTATTGGGTATACGAGATTTTATTTCTCTAATTAATTGTATAATAGTATCTCTTACTGATATTTGAAAAGTGACAGGATTATCCGTTGGAAACTTACAAATAACCATAACTCTATCATGTTTTGTTTTTGGAGTTGATGATAAAGATGAATCTGTTGATATGCTATTTTGAGTATTATTAATTAATGATTGAGTTTTTCGAGTAGTTGCACGAAAAGTAGCGTATACAGTTTGACCACGTTTAATACCAAACGATTTTAAAACTCGATAAAAATCATTCAGATCAAGTTCCTCTTTTGTTTCATTTGATAACTTGAAATCAATAATAGTACGATCTTTACATTCCATCTGAATCTTATCTTTTAACCCATTGATTGTTGTTGTATTTGGTACATTTACAATAAATTTATCGCCATTATAAATACATTGTACATGAACATCTGTATCTTCCTTCGTGCTTGTTTTTACGAGTGGTGGAATGATTTGAACGTAGATCGACATTCGATCATGTATATTTAATTCACTTAATCGTTTTTTACCATCAGAAGATATATCGAGTTCTTCGGCAATTGTAAGAAGATGAATTCGGTCACGGCTAATTGATTGTAATGAAAATTGTTCGATAATGTATTCGAGAAGTATCGCCAGTGTTGTTTTTGCTGTGTACCACTTAAAATCTATCTTGTCTGTTTCATCTGGAGAAACTACCGTTAATTGGCATTGTTTTGGAGGTGGTGCGTTATTTTCTGGTTCAAAATAGAGTGTACAACCATCAGTCACGCCTACATCCCGTAATGATCTCCGTTTTTCGGTTACTTTCAATACATAGTAACGACCATTCAAACCAACTCCAACAAGAGAAACAACTTCTGGAGGAATATCATCAAGACACAAGAATTCTAAAAGATCTTTTGTGATTCCGCTAACAGTAATTGTCGAAGAAGTTTCAATATCAGTGTATAATTCTATACCATATCTTCGATCGTTATATCGAAGTCTCAGCTGTATACGTTGATCTTCTCGATTTTGTCCTCGAAAAGGAATATTGCGATTCGTTAGTGGATTTGCTGGAAGCGAACGATACATGATGATATTTTGTCCGTAATGTAGTTGTAATAAAAAATTATACAAGATTTGTCATCTGAAATACACAGTTTTAAAGGAAGAAGAAAAATAATATATATATATGAATCATTCGATTATTAATTTTGTACGAAATCTATTAAAAATATTTCATTTAGCAAAAAGATATAATTTCTTCCAATACTTACATATATGTAAAAATTAAATCGAAATAACAATGTGGATTTTTTTCTTTTTCTCGGCACGTTTCGTCGTCTGAGTTTACCTTTATTTTTCTTCTTCCTCCTCTATGTAACTGAAGAGAAATCGTCGTCGAAAAACAAGTTTTTATTATTATTTTTCTTCTATTTTTTTTAATAAACATACAATTTTTGTTATTATTGTTCCCAAACTTCATCAGTGTATAAAAATAGTCATAAATTATTAGAATACCTTTCAAAACATCATGATCAATTTTTTGAGTTTATAAACGTATTAACATTTGTTTTTAGCGACATCTATTTTCATTATTATATGTATCATTTTTATTTGTTAACTTATTCAAAATCTATCAAGCACGGAACTAGAAGAATAAATATATACATAAAATAAATTTTTTTAATAATTCATATTCATAAAAATGAAAAATGTTCGTGATATAAAAGCATGAAAAAAGGTGATTGCCTTGTAACACATGTGAGTTTAACATACCGTATCCGACATATGTGATTCAATAGTTTATGAAAGAGAAAAAAAAGTATATATAATATATTTGAACTATCACCGATAAAAATCAAACCTGAAATATATGAGACTATATATAACAAAACTGAAGTCATAATCGAAAGAATATTGGTATGTTTACAAATACTAAATATGTAACTAACACGAATCTGTTATAGTTTTAAATCAAATGATAAACAATTTTTTTGTTGTTGTACTTTTATAAAAGAAACTTTTTTTTGTCATAGTCTATCGATGACAACCTTGGAATGCTAACTGACGGATCATATATACTAATGAATGGCTATGCTTCAGTAGTTTAATCATGAAATTATTATAATATTCTGTATTGCTTCTCTTTCTTTAAATAGGCCTAAAAACGATTTTTCTTTCTTATTGTATTTTAGATTAGATATTCATTTTTCATGAATTTTTTGGTCATTATTTTAAGTTTTATTTTAATTTTTGGTATACATTCAAATGACACTGATGATACAGGTGGTATTGATGTATTAGATATATTAAAAGAAAAACAAACTTCTTGTGATCTACATGATTTTGTAATCGGAAAAGAAAATTCCGAAAAAGAATATATAGCTTTAGTTTATGATTTAGCAACATATTGTTCCGAAACTGAATCAACATCTTTATCTCGAATTTTATGTCGTATGATATTAATAGAACTTGAAATTGGATGTTCATTACCTAATAAATCACGTCCAACACCAGTTAAATATATTAATTCATATACATCAACACAAATATGTTCAATGAATAAAATAATGTATACGAATAGATGGATTTGGTTAAAATTTACTGAGAAAGAAAAAGAAGAATTGGGTTCATCATCGGCTCACATATGTCCAAAATTAACTTCTGTGAATTCTACACTTCGTTTAACAAGATTTTTTTATAAAATTGCACCACGTATTAGACGTGTTGAAGCTTCGAACACTAATTTAACTGCAAATAAATCAGAAATAACAAATCTTAAAAATATAAAAAAAGATTCAGTAGATGCCGAACAACCGGTAGCAGATAAACCAGATGAAAATAAGGAACCAGTAGCAATCGATTCAAAAAAGAAAGAATCAAAATCAAGTAAAATATTTCGATTCTCTTATTATTAATTAAACTAATTATTTATTTGTTTTTATAGATATTAGACAAAGACAAAATGAAAAAAGTATGATAAATAAATGAATTTTATTATATTATTAATAATAAATATTTTTTCAGGAAAACAACTCATAGATAATGATGATTATGATGATGACGATAATGCAGCAGATGTTAAAAAGAATAAAGATACTAAGAACAAAGAAGGTTTGTTGAGAGTGGGTGTGTGTGTGTGAATCACATTAAGATTTTTTAGCTGAATTGGTAAAAGACGATGGTAAAGAAATCAAATCATCCGATGAAGTGAACGACAAAAAAGGTTATTAAATTTGACTTGATTTTAATTTAAATAATTTATAATTTATTTTCAAGACGATACTCGAGTGAAACGAGGTAGTTTGAAATTTTGATATTAAATCAATGAATTTATTTTATTTTTTCTTAATAGAAAAGGAAGAAGTTAAGGAACGAAGAAGTAAGTAACTACTTTAATAAATAAATAAAAAAACAAATAATTTTTATTAATTAGAACCACAAGCTCCTGATGGTGAAACTGGTTTTCAACCAAATGAACGTGAAAAAGAATGGGTTGGAGGTATTATATTAAATCGGATAAGGGTACTAAAATCTAACATTAAATTAAATTAATTTAAATAAAATCAAACTAACAATTATTTTATAGGAAAAAAAGATGATAATCAACCAAATTGGAGTTTAAAAAAAAAGAATCGAATTGATTCGGATGATAAATCATCACATACATTTTCAAAACGAAGGAGAACTTCACTTAGTAAGAAATAAATTAATTTCACAAAAAAAAATATTTCATAAATTTTTAGGATCAAAATCAAATGATGATCATGATGATGTTAATTCTGATGAGAAGACAAGCAATTTTACAAGATATTTTCTTATTTTTATTTTACTCATCGTTGCCACTTATTTTATATTACAATATAAAAATAAAGTAAATTATTCGATTTTTTTTCTGATTAAAAAATATAAATAATCTTCTACATATATAGGCAATAGGTATAATAATCGAAGGATGTAAACAAAGACGTGGAGTCTATGGACGTCGTACTGGTGGAAGTGGTACTTGATTATATTTAGATTTTTTTAATAGACAATAAATGTATTCATTTTTCTTATTGTAATCTTCTTATTTCTCAATACATCTTCTTAAATAAAAAGAAAAAAAAAATTTTTGTTTTCAATATTTAATAATATTGAAAAATTAGAGATAGATTATCTATGTAAAAAATCATCATTTAATGCATTTTTAAATTCTATTGTAACATCCGAACTTAGCTCAGTTGGCAGAGCGGTAGGCTGTAATGGTGTCATCATAGTAACCTATAGGTCCCCAGTTCAAATCTGGGAGTTCGGATTTCTCCTTTTTTTTCTTTCCTCTTTCTTCCTACGATGGTTTTTTGTATAATAACTAAAGAATACAGGAAAGAAAAAAAGCAGTGATGTAAATATTGTTTTTTTCTTCCTAATAGAATATATAATATTGATGGCTAAACTTCGATTTTATTTTTAGAACAAATATTATGTCATACCAAGTAATGTCTTCATTAATGGATGTATTTCTACTGTAGTTGCATCTCTTCTTATTTTTTCTTGAAAATCTTGAGAAGTTGCTTGTAATTTAAATATATTTTCGACTAAACGTATCATTTTAATGACTGCTATATCAAATAAAAATTTTTCCATTAAATAACGAAAAAGTAAATCAACATATTTTAAATGTGCATTAAATACATTCTGTGGATTAGATAATAACCATATTTGTTCATCATTGATTGTTGCACCTTTTAAAAATATTAAAACAAGCATAAGTAATTGTATAGTCATTTTATCATTATCGATTAAATTAATAATTGTATGAATATAAGATATATAGTTATTCATTCTTTCATAACCATAAAATAGATAGCATAAATTTTTATTATTTGAAGATAATGTTGTGAATTCCATAGTATTATAAAGTAACTCAGTTTTTCGATCAAATACAAGTATATCATGTAAACAAACTAATGGAATAATATTATATTTCACAAGTGCTAAACGATCATCTTCACATAATGATACAAATTCTGGTACTAATCGAAGAAAATTAATTATTTTAATTGGAATTATTTTTTCTATTTCTATTAAATCAACAAATGAATATGTTTTAGTTAATGATTCATCAAATGTTATTAAAGATGGAGTTGAACGTAGAGCAGAAATATAAGAATCTTTAATATGTGATAAACATAATCGATCGATATCAGTTAAAGTGGATGATATTTTAACATTATCCTAGAAGAACGATGAATAGCTTTCATCATTAAACTAATTAATTACTTACTAATTTACACTTTATATGATTTTGTTTTGAACGAAGACGACGATTTTCTTCAATAAGTTGTTTTTTTCTTAATTTTTCTTCTCGAGTTATTAAATGATCTTTACGCATACCTAAAATTTTATTAATAGAATTTAAATGAAAAACAATTTTTTACTAACCTGATTCAAAACATTTAAGTAACCGACAATGTTGACATTTCTGTTTCATATCATATCGAATTTTACATCGATTATTAATTGATACTTCTTTTTTATTAATACATGTAAAGTTTCCCTAAAAAATTTTCCAGTATATTTCAATAACTATAGAAAAAAAAAGAAAGAATATATTTACTATTGGCAACAAAGCATTTCGACGAAAAAATTCTATTATAAAAATAATAATTGTTTAAAAAATTTTTTCTATAGATTTACCCTTGCATGAACCACATGAAATTTGAGCGAAATTGTAGCCTGATGCAGGTCCTTGACATACCACACATGTTAAGTCAGATCGATGTTGTTTCATTTTGGAATCATTTCTTAATTTATTATTATTCTATAATAAAAACCAAATAATATTTTTTGATGAAAAAAAAAACAACGTATTTATCTTAAAAATTTTTACTTTATTTGATGAAATTGAATTGATTTTATCATTACCACTATCCATTATTAAATCAATTAATTATTTGTGTTTCTAGTTGAGAAAGTAAAAAAATATTTTATAGAGTCCTGTAATAGGCAACCAAAATAAGAAGCTTTCATCCGTGAAAATATTCGTCTGTTTGTCTCATACGATACACGTGTATTGAAAAGTAAAATAAAAAATATTATAACATCAATCTATATATCAATCTTTTCATCAAAATATCAACGAGATATAATCAAAGTTAGTATTGCACTTTTTATGCAAAACAATTAAATATCTATTTCTATGTACATGGTGTGCGAAAAGCACACAAAAATATTTATTTGTACCTAGACGATGTGCGCAAAGCATACGGCTTCAGTCATATAAATACTAGTGCTTTTAACAAAACGAGTCATGTCAAAAAAAAATTCGTTTTTTTCGTATCATGTCTTCATCATCAAATATTACCAATCATATTAATGTTGCAGTTATTGAAACTGATTTTGAAACAAATATGAAACATAACGATGATATATTCAAACAACGTACAATTTCAATATGTGGTGATGCTATAATAGGTGTTCGATTGTCTCTTGCTGGTGTGCGTATAATTGAGGATTTGTCTCCACGAATTACAATTACATTTCAAAATGTCTGTAAAATAATTGATATTCCTGGAAAGATGATGGATCCTCCATCAAAAGAAAAAATAGTTCAACGAACTTTACTTGATAATGTATCTGGTCAAGTTCATCCGGGACAATTAGTAGCACTTATGGGTCCATCTGGTTGTGGTAAAACAACTTTACTTAATACATTAGCTGGCCGTTCATTAAATGGTGTTACTGGTAATATTTGGCTTAATCATCAACGTTATGAAAAAAGTATGAAACGTAAATTAGCTTATGTATTACAAGAAGATATTTTTTTTGAAAATCTTACTGTTAAACAACAACTGACATATACAGCTTTACTTCGATTACCAAATAATTTAACACGAAAAGATAAACTTGCTCAAGTTGAACAAATTATTGAACAATTACATCTTCAAACTTGTGCAAATACTCCAATTCTACTTATATCTGGTGGGCAAAAACGACGTGTCAATATTGGCACAGAATTATTAACTAATCCAAGTGTTATTCTTCTTGATGGTTAGTTACATTTTTTTTTAAACTTTTCACATTTTTGTTTTCTTTCTAGAACCAACATCAGGTTTAGATAGTACATCAGCTGTTACTCTTATGCGTGTTCTTCGTGAATTATCGATAAAAGGTAAAACAATTATGATGTCTATTCATCAACCATCATCACAAATTTTTCAATCGTTTGATCAACTTATTTTATTAGCTGAAGCTAAAACTATTTTTATGGTATACATCAAACAATATTTTAACTATTCAATTAATATCTATTTTTTTTTATTTCTTAGGGTAAACCATCGAATGCTTTAGATTATTTTGCAACATT